ATATATATATATATATATATATATATATATATATATATATATATATATATATATATATATATATATATATATATATATATATATATATATATATATCAGCACGATCTACCATCAGTGGATTATCAATCAATCTTTTTCAGCAACTTTAAAGCACAGTTGGCAGAGTGAGGCCAATATAAAAGATTATTAGGAAATGCTAAAGTGATTCTCGGAAGAAGACGGTGAATCGTTGGCACGTCGTCACCTGAGCGTCATCGATCATAGCAGGTGGGACGTATATATCGTGACATGGACGCCTGTCATAACCTATCAACATCATCGTCCTAACCACGTGTGCGTTTGATCCCACCCAAAATGACGGCCCAACGACCACATAACGTATTACGTCCTCGTCCTCCCAGCATGAACCCAAACTGTTATCAACATGTTATGCATCCCAGTCCACAAGATTTCTACCACCACAAGCAAATACATAATGACATAACCAAATACAAAAGCGAAAAAGAAAATGATTACCAGCAGAAACAAATTCATCGATTATTGACTCACTTTTCCTCCCTTCTCTTTTTGGTGTCGACGAGAGCTGCGTTTCATGAGAATGCTCGCTCGAACTTTTTATTTACCTCGTCATGCTTCGTTAGATGGCTGCCCACCAATTCTTTTGGGTGTCCACTTAATTCTTTTGTCCTCTCTCTCTCTCTCTCTCTCTCTCTCTCTCTCTCTCTCTCTCCCTCTCCAACTCTCTCGGTGTTCTCAAGAGCAGCGAGTGCAAACAGGTTATACAATAACTACTACAATTGTCTCTCTTCTACGCAAAGCAATGTCAGAGCAAGCCCCTGCTCACCACCACAGTGGAGAAGGATGGGTTGGAATCCGTAATGTGAAGACAAAGAATGCTGTGATGTATATTTTTCTCAAGATATCTGATCTTCGAAGAAGAAGCCCTTTTGTTTGATTCAAAGGTGGAGACATCCTTCCTCCGACGAGTGCCAAAGAGGTTAGGTTCTTGGAGCACCGACAAAAGAAAAGATCAAGCCTCGATCCAGATGAAAGAAAAAGGTAGAGGACTCTTTCTTTGATTCACAGATGAGGAATCCTGCTCATATGAGAATCTAAGCCTCACTCCAGGTGAAAGAAAAAGGTAAACGACTCCCGGTCCGACTCCTCCTCCTCAGGCTTACATTCGAGCATCCTCTGCTATGTTAGTCATGTCAGAATGACAAAGGAAAAGTTATTGATCGTATATTGTTGTAATGTGGTAGTCGTCGGAGGAAATATCCACAGATTGTAAGGACTCCGTCTGCTTGATAAATGTGTTTTATCTTCATTGCTCTTACAGCAGTGATGCTCAATTCTGAGAGGTAGGTGTTTGGACCTTGTGATGGCGTCATCTTGGGAGTATATGGGGGACATGGCCAACGTCGTCCAGCTGACCGGCCTCGACGCCGTCCGCCTGATCGGCATGATCGTAAAGGCCGCCTCTGTTGCGCGGATGCACAAGAAGAATTGCCGGCGGTTCGCGCAGCACCTGAAGCTTATCGGCAGTCTCCTGGAGCAGCTCAAGATCTCGGAGCTCAAGAGGTATCCCGAGACGCGCGAGCCGCTGGAGCAGCTCGAGGATGCCCTGAGGAGGTCCTACATTCTCGTCAACAGCTGTCAGGACCGCAGCTACCTGTATCTCTTGGCCATGGGGTGGAACATCGTGTACCAGTTCAGGAGAGCACAGAGCGAGATCGATCGGTACTTGAGACTGATTCCACTGATCACTCTTGTCGACAAACATAGAATCAGGGTATGGATCTCGTGTTATTGCTCTTCTCCCGTTCGCTATCGATAATTACCAAGCAATAAGCCATTATGGTCCTACCTTTTTGCCTTGCCTTGTTGATAAGCCAATTTTAGTCACTATTTGGTAGACAATGGTCCATCTTTGATGCTGAGATGAACAGAATGAAAATATCGACACAGAATTTAAACTCCACATGCTTCATTTAGGGCAATTTCGATGATGCTATTTACATCTATCTAAAAGCTTGTCACTATTAATAATCTCAAAGATTTGATCTTGCACATGAAAATTCTACTTTCAATTGGTTCAGAAATCATAACGATGTGACGCTAATTAGCATTTCTGTTTGTGTTTGGGAGTGCCGTTGATATGTCACAAACGACTAGGCATAATTCTAATGGTCGGTTGGTATTGCGATTGCCATACAGTAGGCTATGATTTCTAACGTACATAATGATCGGTTCCCAGAAGCTAGTACCCAATATGATTGTGGCACATTGATGACATATTTTACCATCATGCGTTGAATAAATAGAAATGACATCTTTTGCTATCATGTGTTGAATAAATAGAAGACGAAAAACCAAAAGTGACTTGCTCTTATGCTTGCATTAGGTCAGTCCTAAGATCTCAACTCTTCGGGGTCGATTATGTGGATTTTTTCCTATCATTTAGCTTTGTTAAAGGAAATAGTTGGTTAAACCGCGAGCCAATGAAACCGTTAAGTAATACTTAGAAAATAACACCTGGTAGGATATTAAGTTTGACCCTCGGAGATTATGCAAAAGCTATACTTGTTCGATCATTGAATCACCCATTTTCTATTGTGCATGAGACAAAGTACAACTAGCGATTCTAATAAAGATCTTTCTATACAATTGATTTCACCTTATATAATGAAATATCCCATGTATTTCTTATTATACCTCTTGTGTTCTTCTGAATTTCTTTCAAAAGGTTACTATTTGTTTCATCATTTTGTTCTGGTCTCTCAGATATGTTGTTGCAATCCCAAATGTTATGAATCATGATGAATGGGTAAATTCTGAGATCGGATGCTCATACATAGAAATTACTTTACCAAAATTCATGGTGTATATAACACCAATGTTTGGTGATCATATCATTCTGTCTTGGTTTACATCTCAGTTACAGTCTGATGTCGGGTATGAGCTTCTCATGTACCATAAGCAGCTACGGGTATTCCCTTGTGTTTCTTAGGATATTAGTTAGTCTGAACACTCAATGTACAATATCCTCTCTAAAGAAATAAAAGTATTTGGTTACTTGTTCTCGGACGATATTAGTTGGATATATAGCTGGTTGACCATCAACTGAGAGGATTATTACCTAATGAATTTCTTGTTTAATTCCTGTGTCATTTTTTGAATATGTCCTGCTTGATTTGATCCTTCAGGAAAGATTGGAGTATATTGAAAGGGACCAATGTGAATATAGCTTTGATGAAGAAGACAGGAAGGTGCAAGATGTTCTGCTAAATCCAGTTCCTTGCAAAAGTCAGAGCATGGTTCTCAAAAAGTCTCTTTCTTGTTCAGACTCAAGCATGTCATTTGATGAAGCTCTTCAGAAAGAAAATGAGAAGCTTCAGATGGAACTTCAAAGATCACAAACTAACCTAGACGTAGGTGCATGCGGACTTATCCAACAATTGCTTGGACTAACCGAGACTATGGCAAGTGCGTTCCCGGAGAACACCGTAGAACTGAAGAATTATGAAAATGTGGAGTCAGCATCTGTTGATGTCCTTGATGACAAAGAAGATTATTCCTCTTATGGGAACTATTACAGCCAGCAAGATGACACTTGCAAGGCATCATCAAGGTTAGCTCTGCTGCTACTCATGCAAAAGGATAACTGCCATGCATAAATATTGGTTCCAGCCACTCAATGTTTGTTTTTTTCTTCAATAATTGGGCATTGCTAATTATACATCCATTAACCTTTGAACTACTATTTTAAGAGTAGTCGTCACCTTATATACCCTTTCTTATACAAAGAAAATATACTTGATATGCAGAAACACGCAATTACAGTCAATACAACCATTAGTTCAACTCTCTATGACTCATTAGCTTCATCGACCCTTTGGTTTGTCTAAGACTGATAATTCAACATAATTTTACAAGTGAGGTACTTTCAGCCACATTTCCTCTCAAAAGGGAAATATATAATTTACAATATGAATATATTTCTTGTACCTACTCATGGCCTGCTTAGGACACCAACCTTCCTCATGATCGGAGACAGCAGCTCCATGAGTCGGTGCTTCATGGGTCCTTCACAAATTCCTAATTTTATTTAGGGTACCCATTCATATATCCATAACAGCCATTGTGAATAAGAATATCAGAATATCTAATGACATCTTGCACTTCATGCAGAATTTCATCTATAGCTTCTTCTGGTCATGATTTGCTTTCAAATAAGGCATCATCCAGATATGAAGAATGGCACTCAGATTTACTCGGTTGCTGCTCAGAGCCATTTTTGTGTATGCCATTTTCACCTGCAACTCTTGTAGATACATACAGTAGGTGTGGAAATTGATTGTCCCTATGATCATGTTTGCATATTTTTTTCTACAATGAATCAGCTTTAGTTATCTTGTTTTGGATGAATATAGGATCCAGTTTCAAGATGTTTTACTACCCTCAGTATGTCCATTATTTATCCCCCATTAAATGTGTGGATCCACCCTGAAATGGTTCGTAAAATTTAGTCCCATAGGATTTTATTTTTAGTTCCATCTCCTGGTTACATTCAATCGTTCCTAATTGCCTTTAACATAAATGTGGATCTAGATAACGAATCTTGATGATAGTTTCCCTCTTGACACTGTTAATTTGACACGAGTACAATAATTTTTTTTGGTTTCTGCATCATATTCTGGTTCAGTTTCCTGTTTCTGTATAGTTTTATGTTTGCTTTTTGAACTTTCAGATCCTCCGTGATAGTGTACACTTTAAACTTTCCCTCTTTCCCATGTTTCTTAATGCATCCATGGCGCATATAATTCCACTCAGATTTGAATATGATCTGAAAAAGGTCTACATGGATGGTGTAGTATCCAGGTTCAAAAATATGGTTAGTCATTGTTTCTTCAGATAATTTGATGTTTTGATTTGCTATTATAATAAGATGCATTTTTGCATCCTTTTTCTGCCTTATGGAGAAACATGGAATGCATTACAATTAGGTTTTGCCTTTTTAATCAATTCTGAAGGTAGATTTGATGATAGATTGGCTTTTAGGTGCAATAGGCCATGGTTGTTGTCTCTGTCTCTGAGAAAAGAGACTATTAAGAAAATTCTTGTAGCTGCAACTGCCTATAAAGATTCTGCTGCTGCAATCAGTGACTGCTTAATGCCTACATCGACCATTTTGATATCTGTGAACCCCGTAAGGACTGACTAATAACTAGTAAGTGAAACACACTGTACAATAGAAGTAATGACATTCTGATATGTATAAATTTGACATAAATTTAACTATAATAAAGAACAAACTGATGGTATATATGCAAACTCCTAACATGTACACTCCCCAAGCATTAAGGAGAGTTTTCATGGCCAAGTGAAGGTAGAAGAAGGTCCTCAAGTATCGCAATCTCATGTTAGAAAACGTTCACATTCAAAATTCATTCAACCATAAGCAGCAGATGCCCTTCAGATATCTAGCAAATTTATCCTGGCATATCCGAACAGTCTATAGTGGGTGATACATGATATTTCATTTCTTTACTGATGGGCAGATCATTAAACCAAAATATAAATATTAATCAAGAACCAATTTCTTTTCAATTCAACAGACTTCATTTTTCTTGTCTACATTTGAATTTTTTATGACATCTTCTTACATCTGACATTCAGACTATGGTTGGTTGGTAAATTGCAGGCATCAAGACATGCTGTTTCCCTTGTGGGACTTTTTCAAAAATCGCTTCGGTTGCAAAAAACAGACATGTTTGTACGTCGATGTTGTACTTGTTCTTATATTAGAAGCATTCATCTTGGATTTTTATTCTCAGAAAGCTAATCTGGGATTGCATGCATCTAATTATAGGAAATAGTAGAATGCAGAAATACTAAGTTTTTTTTTTTGGGGGGGTGGGGGTTGCAAATCTGTATTTTGATATCACCGTAGACCATATTTCAAATAGAAAACCACTATGACGATTTAAGAGATCTAAACACTTTCATGAATTTAATGACCCGCATCCGGGTAATTGACAACAAGGGATGTGAATTTCTTGTCAGGTATGATTAATGTTCCAAAAGTTGTAAGAAAATAATAATGCTACTATGATTTCTTTTCTGCATTACAAACTTTTGAAGCACAAGCTCATTTTTGGCAAGTGTTTCATCGGCCAAAGATTCTTTAAACTTAGCATCTAATAAGTCGTGCCAAACAGAATGGCATTTTGAACAGAGATGATTCAACCCAAAATTATGCATTAATAGGTTGCAGCCTCTAGTATTGAACTGCAATTTTCGGCTAAACTCGGACTCAGAAATAAGTTTATATATTTGTCATGTATATAGCACACTGATTTGAAATTTCAAAAGTAATGCTGTGCTACATGGTTTGATAATGTAACACGGATGCGATTTAGCAGTTAAAGAATTAAGAATGTGTGGAATAATGTCACTGACAGTGTGTTTTGGTGGTGTCAGCTTCTGCGGAAGCATGCAATGACTTCATGGCGTATGCATTGGTTCTATCCTGTTGCTGTTACACATGTTGCATCAGGAGAAAGCTTCGTAAAATGCTGAACATTACGGTAATTATTATGCTTCTGCTTCGATGGATACAGGATTTCCATTTGATAGAAGATGTTAATCGGAAGGCTATCAGACCAAAGTCTGTTATATTTATTCAACCTAGCAAAGTTGTCTCTGTAGACATGAGGAACTTTAAATCTATCGAACTGATGTGTGTATCTAAATTTATGCATCATTTCAATTTGAGACGGACATGGTTAAACAATCATCGATCATCAATAATTTTTTTTTTTTTTGAATTGCTCGACTATCTGCAGCATACTAGTTTTCCACATACGATGCAGTGAGCATGATTATGATACCAGAGAAGAGGTTATCAAGTATGGCTGATTCTGTGTTACAAATTTGCCTGTTAGGGAGGTTTATGTGATGATTTCCTCTCACACCTGATGTGCTGCTGCTGTGCCTTCGTTCAAGAATGGCGCGAAGTGGAGTTTCGTGGGACTAATGGTACGTCCATGACTGCTGCTGGCTATCGTTGTATGATGTTGGTGTGGTGTTGCAAGTTAGACAAACATTAATCACTTGAGAAAATGCTTTGCAGTTGTCGATAAGACGAAAACAAATCCACCAGCTTCTCAATACATGGAATCTTGACTACACAGAATGGCAGCAACAGACCTCAGTCTGGCCACAGGAAATGATGGAAGTAGTGCTAGTCGTCGTCTTGTGTGTACAATATCTGTGTGTGTGTGTGAGTGTGTGTGTGTATAGTACTGGTATATTGCACTTGGGTATTCATTCATTTGTAAGTGAAGATAACTTGGTGTGTTTGTAGAACGGGATATGCTTCTGCTATTGAAAGTAAAAGAAGGTTAATTATTGCAGATGAAGGGTTTCTGCTGGGGGTGTCTGCAACCCATTGATTGATTAATGCACAAGCTACGATAATTCCAGAGGAGGCAAGCTCGGGAGAAGTAATGACATGGATGGATGGATGGATGGATGGAGGCAGTCAGCTAAAAGCACAATAAAAGGATGGATATATATATATGGCTATGAACACTAAAATAAGCTATGAACAATCTGAAGTGCTTGGTGGCATCTAAATATGAATCTCCAACACTTATATGAACAAATCAAGCACCAGAATAATGTTGCTAAGATGAAACTATCAAGCACCAGAATGTTGTTGGCTAGATAAAGGACCGGAGAGAGGCGCGATCGATTGTCCGATCCCAAAAATAAATAGATTGCATATCAACGTCACGTGTATTGATCTTGATAAGGAAAAAGGAGATAGAGTTGTCGATTAGAACAAGCTTCGATCTTCTATATTTCTCTTAAGAAAACTCTTTACAATTTTAAAAACCCTATATGTTTTTTACCCAATATATAAGATTTATATAACCCCCGAAAGATATATTACATTAATTATATTCAAAATGAATCATTCTCTTTAAGAAATTTTTTCATTAACCAATAACCAATTTGACTCGTCAGATATTTAATTTATTTTTTCTTCTTGATATGATATAATGAATCTCCCACTTGATGTAATGAACCTATCTTTTGATGAAATTAATCTCCTTACTGAACCGGTTTAATGAAAAACAAAGACACATTAAGGACTCGAGTGAGCTTCGAACGTAGCACCACCAATATACACACACATTTGTATTTATAAGAGTTGCTTGTTTCTTGAGAAAATTTAGATTTCTTGGACGAATACAATCACCCCGAAAGAGTTGCTTGTTTCTTGGGAAAAGAAATTTCTCCAAGTACATTAAATTAAATTACCATTTCTCTAGAATAATTATTTTCTTGTATTAGTTTTGCTGGTAGGTGAGTTATCAATGCTTACCAAGCGATTGTTTGGCCATACCATACCTCCTTGCTTAAAATTTTTGAGGATATGCGGAAAACTATTATTAATGTATTTAAAATTAAATTATTAAAGTATTTAAAACTATTATTGAGGAAAAAGACAGACATATGCTTGGAAAACTATTGAAGTATTTAAAAATTGTATTAATGTTATATGGATTTGGATATTATAAACTATTGAAGTTGTAATATTAAATGTTATATGCAAAATTTGACATAAAATAAGCTGCAGATAACATCTTAATGCTATGAACAATGGCTTCAACAACATTTGATGCCACATTTAGGGTATCTGATGATTGGTTGCAGAGTTTTGGGGGAGAGTAGCACCTTCTTCCACCCATTGCAGAACATTTGGTGCCACGAGGAGAAACATCTAAATCAACACAACCAGAGGGATTAGGAGTTGGGGTGGGCCATATATCATCACGATAGTTTTACCAAGTTCCGAAATCGATCGACAATGGCTGGATTGGAACAAAGTGGTAAGACAGTCATGATTGATCCCCGTTGGTTAGATAGAGTATATGAGATCAGAAATCATATTGGCGTCCACATTCACAATAATAGTGAGCCATTTGGGATAAGGGAGTGGATGAGGCCATTACCTAAATCCCTCTTCCGATGTTGTGTTAGGTTACTGATGTTTTTAGGACATCTATAACAACTATGGGTGAAGTTTCCCATCAATATTATTAAGAGCCTTTTGGCGATAATATAATTCTTGATGATTTTAAAAAAAATAATCAAGCATTAGGATCGAAATTCCAAAAAACAAAGTCTTTATTTAAAGATAGAACGGTCGATGAGTTAGGATTAAATCGATAACAAATTGAATAAGGGTCGATTTATCATATACCCCTGTACCATATTTTGTTTTAAGGTATTGTCCAAAATATAAAAAAGAATCAAGATATTAATTAGGTCAAGTACCTTCAAAGATTTTTAGCGGGGCAATGCTTGATCGAGAAGTATATTTTTTAAAAAAATAAACATTAAATTTGTTGAGGTTGATATGAGATGGACGAGGGTTTCAAATTGCTCCAGTATCATCATATTGTTTATACAAGATTTAGAAATTTTTTTTTGCTTGAAAGTTTAGTTTTCTTTTACTTGGCATCATTTGAGACAAAAGGAGGACGAAAGCTAATGAATTATGATAAGATAATGATGCAAAGAGAGAAAGCTTATTGTCTCGAGAAGACAATAAGCAAAAAAATCCAATGTATAAATTGAGTAGGCAAGTTGAATGATAAGATTCAAAAGCCATTTTCAAATCTAATTAAAAAATAATAAAATGATTATTACCTTTAGAATTGATCATTATTTACCTTTGATTAAAAATATTATTTAGGGGTAATCAGATTATAAGATAAAACATTTGATTATGTTAATAAGTAGTTCATACAAGAGTTTATAAATCGATATTATAGAAGGTTGTGTGTTTGTAGTCTTTGATACCCGTAGGGTTAGGCTCATTAGCAATAAAATATGAGATTAGGGAGTTGATCCAACTTCAATAATTTATAGAATTTAATATTAAATCCATTGAAACCTCAACTCTTACCGATACTCATTCGATTGAGGTCAATGAAAAAATTATAAGGATTTGCATAGGGGTTGGTGAGAATCATTCCGACTTTGGAAGAGGAGGAATGGAAGACCAATCCGACGATGAAGATTGAACATTGAACACTATTATAAAAGGAAAGGTTGGAACGCCGATTGATTAGAAAAGACCTCAAGGATGTGAAGCACCGCTCTCAAACAAACACAGAATTATCGTCCTCCCGAATCATAAAATGAAATTCTTCTTTTTCCTAAAAATGTGAGGACTCGTAATTATTATCATACTAAATTAAAGAACTTGATAACTGAGTTTAGGGTCTTGTAATTATTATTAAATTTTTTTTTTCTCAAGTTTTTGGCTGTTTGAAGTTTTGCCGCTCGTGGGAAAAATAAAAAGGAGAGTATGACAAATAAAAATGGAGGGAAGGAAAAATAAAAGACGGGGAGAGAAGAAATAGGGAGAGTAGGCACTAGTTGATCAACCGTATATACGTGAGAAACATGTAGTTTATGTCTGACAATTTATTCTCACACAAAGTGAAAGTCGATGGCGATGTGTTTCGTGCGTGAGTGGAATACTGGATTGGCGCATAGATAAGTGACTCCGACATTGTCACAATATATTATAGGAGTAGAGTTGATATTGATGCCAAGTTCCTTGAGGAAATTCATGACCTAATTGAGTTATGTAGTAGTGATGGCAATAGCACGGTATTCAGCTTCAGTTGTTGAACGTATAACTATCTTTTGCTTCTTGGAACTCCAACTTATTGAATTAGGTCCAAGGAAGAGAATATACCTCGATGTAGATGTTCTGTTATCAAAATTATCTGCCCAATCAGCATCAGCAAAGGCATGGAGATGAAGGGAGGAGTGTTTACGAAAAAAGAGGCATTGATAGTCCCGTGAAGATATCGCAATATTCGTTTGACTGCAGACCAATGCATAGTAGATGGTCGATGCATGAATTGGGATAATTTATTGACTGCAAATGAGATATCTGGACGAGTGAGAGATAAGTACTATAAGGAGCTAAGGACTTGATGGTATTGAGTTGGGTCTGTAGTAGGACTTCCATCACATAGTTTGAGTGACTCGCTAGTAGACAGATGTATTGTAATTGCCTTTGCATCTTGCATGTTCATTTTAGATAATAGATCTTAAATATATTTTTGTTGTGATAGGAATAGCTCGGAAGATGTGTATATTGCTTCCACTCCCAAAAAATAGCTCAAGGTTCCTAGATCTTTAAAGGAGAATCGATCTGCTAAATGCTTGAGGAATGCCTTGATTTTCATAGGATTGTTGTCTTCGACAATAAAATCATCCACATATACCAGAAGATATAATATATTATCATTGTGACAAAGAAATAAGGAGGTATCAGACTTAGAGTTGATGAAGCTAATTGATGCAAAAAACGAGCCAAGTTCGATGTACTAAGCTCTTGGAGCTTGACAAAGTCCATAAGTAGTTTTTTGTAGTTTATAAATATGCTTTGGATATTGAGGGTGGATGAAGCCAGGAGACTATGCATGAAGACATCATTAGTTAGGGTCCCCTATAGAAAGGCATTGATAACAGTCAAAGATCTCCCATGATAACAACCTCAACATCAGCCAAAACTACATGATAAGATATCATAAATCTATTGAGGAAAATCTTCCTCTATTGAGGAAAATTCTCCCTTCCAAACATATATAAATATGAAGTATTATGTATTATTTTAATCAATGCAATCTTCTTCTTTCTATTTTATTTCTATCATGGTATCAGAGCTAAGACCACTTTTAAACATCTCGGAGTAGACCCGACTTCACCTAATCTCGGCTCCTTCTCCTACTGCCTCGTGGACCGTGACTCCATCTCAATCGCTCTCCACTCCATCGTTGCTCTCGCCATGATCGCACCTAGCATCTCCGTCAGATGCGGCATTTTTCCTTGGCGAAAGGTGGCAGTAATAGTGGCATCTTCCACAGACGTCCTCCAGGATCGTTGCATTGGTCTCCTTCGAAGCTGAACAAGGGCCACCACGCCACGCCCTCTTCTCCTCCCTACACTAGCGGTATTCTTTACTATCGCCCTTCCTCTGCCTCTTCCTATAGAAGCAGAACCGCAGCAGCCCTTTTTGTCGCAACAGTCGCAGCAACTACATCAACAGTGATATGCTCTTCTCTCAAGTTGGTGTCCCATACTCTACCTTCTTCACCTCGACAAGCAACATCCGGAACCATTTCCAAGTTTCCAACTATAGAACTATTGCACAGAGACTGTAGCGCACAAAGATCTACAGCTTTACACAATATTGATCATTGTCAATATTGATCAACAACCCACAACTCATTTGCCACCATAACCCACAACCCATTTGCCACCAACACCTCTTCCTCCCATATCATTGTCATTGTTGCAGACTTCTAGTTGCTCCCACATATTGATACATATCCTTCATATGTTCTTATCATCTATCTCTGATGCTCCCATTATTATTCCTGCAGGGAACCACAGTACTTTTCCACATACATGCCTTATCTCCATAAATGCAGCAATTTTCATCCCCTTCAAATTATCCAAAGGTGATAACTACACATCTTAACTACTCAATTCTCTAATCTACTATTTAGCTATGATATTCTAGGCTATGTCGATGGCTTTCTTCGTTGTCCACCGGTGATGCTCAACATCTCAAGTGCACCCAGTCCAGTACTAAATCCGAACCATAAATTATGGTTATGCCAGGATTGTCTCATCCGGTGATGCTCAACATCCAAAACGCACCCAGTCCAGTACTAAATCTGAACCATAAATTATGGTTACGTTGGGATTGTCTCATCCGACGATGCTCAACATCTCAACCGCACCCAGTCCAGTACTAAATCCGGACCACAAATTATGGTTACGCTAGGATCATCTCATCCTTTAAGCTATTCAAGCCTCGGTCGTTGGATCCCTAGCCCCACTTATTTCTTCATGTGACAATGTTGTTGAAGCTTGGTGCAAGTTGCAAACCACCCTGCCAATCGTTCCCGCGCTCGCATGCTTAGTCTCTTGTCCAATCTCATGACGATACAACAAGAGGGAAGTACTGTTGCACATATGATTCACTAGTGCCATTTGAAGAACTCTATGACAAGTTGACTAACTATGAGATATATCTCAAGTGTGAGGATAAGTTACCAACTCAAGTCCAAAGAAGATTACATTGATTGAAATAATACACAATACTTCATACTTCATGTTTATACATGTTCTTCCCTCAACAGAGGAAGATTTTCCTCAATGCGTTGTTAAAGTTGTTATCGTGGAAGATCTTTAACTGTTATCACCTACATCACATTATTATTCGTGACTTTTTATCTATTTACGATTCAGATAATAATAATAGTAATTTAGTGATAACAAAATTATTTGCAGTACGTCGTCCCAGTTTTTACTACAGTGAACTCCTCATCGTCGGAGGAGCTTCCTCGATTAGTTTCTGCAGTTCCATGGCGAACTTGTCCATGGTCGTGCGGGGTAGGTAATGGGGAACCACCACCCCTTCCTCCCCCTTGCTGTTCCTGAAACGGAAGTGGAAACTCGCCACTCGGCCCCATGCCGGCCCGCCGTACAACGGCTTCCCCCACCCGTAATCCACCAGCTCCAGCCCGGAGCGAGTCGCGTCCGACACCAGGTACGACCCCCGCACCTTGTAGTGCGGCCGTCCACGCAGCACCATCAGGTCCACCACCGATCGCATGTACTCTTCCGTCACCATCGACTTGGCCTCCTTCACCAGCTCCAGGGCGTAGCCCACGGGCCTCGCGCACAGCTCGCCGGCGGTGGAGATCGCTGTCGCGTAGGCGATCGCGTTCCCGTAGTACCCGGCCGGCAGGCCCAGGCCGGCGAAGCGCTTCGCACGCGCGTTCACGATGAAGAGGACGCGGACCTCCTCTTCGTCGCCGGGGCTGATGGCGATCGTGCGGCACCTCCATAGGCACGCGGTCAGGATATCGAAGGTGGATCTGTCGCGGAGGTGGGGAGGCACGCACCTCCTCAACGCGGCGACATCCGCTCTGCCGAAGAAGAAGGAGCGGTGCACCATGTCGTCAAGCGGGACGATGGTGGTGGCGGGGCCCCTCGCGTCGGACGGCGGCACAGGGTCGTACTCACGGTGGACGCAGGTGATGCGAGGAGGAATGCGCGCCTCCAGGAGCTCGCGCGCCCACACAGGGGATACGGACGGGGCGGCCGCGCCGCGAGCCAGCTCGCCGACGGCGTTCATGAACTGGCCCAGGCCGGCGCCGTCGGCCATGGTGTGGTTCAAGCGGAGCGCCACGACGAAGCCACCGCAGAGCAATCGGGTAACCTGCATCAGCACCAAGGGGCAGTGGAGGATGCCACCGGAACCAGGGACGTCGTGGAGGAGCTCGCCCAAGAAAGGGAGCGGCGGGTGCAGCGCCTCTCCGAACTGCTCGAGGCTGATGTCGGCGTCGGCCTCGACAAACAAGACCCCCTCGCCGGTGCACTCCACCACCAGCTTCCTTCCGGGGGCTTCCCGGAGCCGTCCCGCCAAGGGGTAGTAGGAGACGAGTGCTCGCCCGAGGGCCTCGCGGATCACCTTAGCGGGGTCGCGATGTCCTCCTCCAGTTCCCGTCGTCGAGATGGAGGGGACGCTGTTGCGGTAGAACTGGATGACGGGGATGTGGGTACGCAGACCGTCTTGGTCGTCGATGTCGGAAAGGCGCTTGAATTCGTGAGGAGTGGGCTCGGAGGGGGGCACTAGCACGGGCTCCTGCCGGCGGACGGTGAAGGTGGGTGGTGACGGCGCCGCCATTACACGACACGAACGAGCACGGAAGACGGAAGTAAACAGAGCCCTTCCTTGGATGCCACGGGGTGGAGGCGGCGGCGGCGTGTCTGACCTCGGAGGAGGAATTTGGGGGTGGATCGTAGGGCTGTCGTCAGGTTGGCGAATCACATCTTAACGAAAAGACTTGAGTTTAATTATGACGACATATTAAAGGCTTTCTTTCTAGTCTGCGAAAGTCGTAGGGAACCAAAAATCTTGCCCAAAGGTCACAAAGAGGGTGGGCTCGAATTTTGACGACATATTAAAGACTTCAGTTTAATTATGACGACATATTAAAGACTTCAGTTTAATTGATAGAGAGGTTTTAAATGTTTATGAGTCCATACTTTGTCGTGTTGTTCTGCAATCCAGAAAAAAAAATTTTGGCCATCATTATTATTATTTTTGTGGAGTGGTTTCGAGGTAATAAAGGAGTGTATATTTTATATGTTGTCCATTAATTTCTTTTGTTTTCAGTTACAGTAAGCATATCGTTCATTTGGGATGAAATGAAGAATTACAATATCAATTACAAAATCACCTTTAATGGCTCCATACAATATATTTTTGCCCTACGATTTAGTGGCAACCATTGGCATATTTGGTGATACATTATAACTCCAGAGAAGATGTATTTTCATTATAACTCTAAAAAAATTAAATTTCAATATATTTAAATTAATGGTAAGATTCTAATGTAATTATTATCTAATGATATATATATTTTTAATATTAACTGTCTATTTGTTTAAAAATAGGTATAAATTTTTAATTAAAAACCCCTATAAATTTAGATCACATCCATCCTAGTATTTCATAGAAGAAGATTGTTAGTAAAGGATGAAAGATTAAAGTGGTGACATGTTTTCAGCGAGATGGATGGTACTAATTGTAAATCAGCAAGATAGTAAATGTTTTATTCATTCATATTGATAAATTATAGTGATTATTGTACTAATTGATTAATATATTTTATAAGAACAATTACACAGTATTCTTGATGAAATACATTGATCACTTGTTGATGGACAAAGAAATAAATTTACCCAAAGGGATGTGTTTCCACTTTTAATTGTAAATTTCGAATGCTTCTCTAGAACTACCATGACATAATCTAATGTGTCTACTGTATATATATATATATATATATGATTTTTGGGTGATTAGTTTTTAAATATGATAATTTTGGGTTATTTGTGATCAAGTGTAACTTCTTGAATTTTTATCATATTTATTTAAACTTCTCTAGAATTATCACGACATGATTCTAATATATTTAGTATTACCTTTTTATTTTTTATATGATTTTAGGATAATTAAATTTTAAAATAAAGAATTTTCTATGTGAAATCTACGATAGAGTATAACTCAAGTGTAACTTATTAAATTTTTATTAAACTTATCTAAACTTCTTCAAAACTATCATGATTATAATATGTTTAGTATTACTTTATCTTTTTTTATGATTTTATGGTGATTAAATATTGAAATAATTTTTTTTTAATGTGGAATCCATGATCAAGTGTGATGGTATCACGAGTACCATCGACTGGTAAGTCGATTTGGTTGGTTTACTATCGAAGGTACAAGTCCATCCTTACATCTCCTCTAAACTAATGTGGGGCTGTTGATATAGTGAACCAACGTAAGAGGTTTGTGTGGGAGGTCGTCTACCGGGGATGCTCTAGTTTGGGAGCGATGAGGTCGAATAGAGGGATCGGGGTCTTCTTGGCTACATGGTCCTTTCTCGGTCGTCGTTGCCTTCTGATAGCGGGATCATTTCTTCTAGTCATAGGTACCCTGCAAGTCAATCACATGAGTGATGACACGTGTGAATTGACACACTATCTTTTTATTTATTATTATTATTTGATATTTTATCACTTTATATTACTTGTTACTTGAATATATTGTGATGTCCATGGATCTATGTAATAAGAATCGGATCGTGATGAGATCACGATACTGAGACCGATTCATCTTTGAACACAGTTCCTAAATAATCTTGGTCATTTGTTACTCGAGAGGAACATCGAGATAACCGGACATATTAGTGTGTTGTATATCCATCCATATGATGGATGTAGCTAATCCTATAGCTGCTCGTGTGGGGGTACTAGGGATATAGTATAGGTGGTCATTGGAGAATAAGTTCACTGATTGATCTGTTTACGGAATGCAGGATGGTTGATGATGCCTTATTGTCAGACAACGATTAGTGGATCTCTATCTAATAATCTCTCATGGGCTCGTATTGGATTTCATCCATAGGATCCAATAATTTAGGGGCTCATTGAATATCTAATAAGATATGGGCTCCGACGGATATCTCATATTCGAACCCCTGCTCATTGCAATGCCTACCATATATGTGTGACCCTCTAGGCCCAATATCGAGCTAGCCATGAGTCATACTTGTCAGAACTCTTTTCTAGCTCAGTAAATTATTATCTCCATAATAATTCACTCGACTCATCGACTGCGGACATACTAGGCCATTACGCCGTAGGCCCGAAACGATACAGGGGAATCCAATCCATTGGACCTGTCTGTCCTCAGTTACCATGTACCTATAGTCTATAATCCATCTAACATCCCAGAGATCGTATACCGGGCAGTGTGCTGTCAGACCCATACGATTTCTACTTAAGTCTCACTTTAATCAGATTCTCTTGGAGAACTCTATCTCTCTCAATTCGAATGATCATAGCTAGGAATTTGTCTAAGCAAGAATACATGAGATATTCCTCTCATGATTTTGAGAGCGGATGATCCTCTATCGATACTCAATAGTCATCATAAGGTTGACTACCACTCCCAATGACTAGTTATGGTAGATCTGGGACATCAAAACCTATAAGTCCGGTATCAAAGAGTGGAGCATTTATACAGGACATCCTTGGTATCTTAAGTCTAAGGACCAGATACACCAATGGGACTACGAAATCGTTATCTAACATTAAGGCATCATCAACCATCTAGCATTCTATAAGCAGATCAATCAGTGAACTCATTCTCCAATGAGCACCTGTACTATATCCCTAGTGTCCTCACACGAGCAGCTATGAGACCAACAATATCCATCATATGGACGAGTATACGACACACCAGTTTGTCTGGTTATCTCGATGTCCTTCTCGAGTAACCTATGATCAGGATTATTTAGGGTCTCTGTTTGAAGGTGAATCGGTCTCATTATCGTGATCTCATCATGATTTGATTCTCACTGTACAGATCCAAGGACATCACAATATATACACGTGTTTATGAAACAATCAATATAAAGTGATAAAATATCAAAATATAATAAGCAAAAATACTGCATGTCAAGTCACACATCTCATTACTCATGTGATTGGCTTGTAGGGCACCTATGACTAGCAGATGATTGCGTGGATAGAGAAACTCACATGTCTAGGAATGGTCCTAGAGGATAACCTGTGTGTAGATCTTGTGCTTCAGTCCTTATCAGATTTCTTTTCATAATTCATAATGAATTTTAATATGAACAAACTTAATGTGACTCTCCTTGAGCTCCTTAATATGTTGAGGAAGACAAAGAACACTATCAAGAAAGAGAAGCCAGTTCTCTATACTGGTGAGACCAAAAAGAAAAGAAAAGTAGAAAAATCCCTTCAGAAGGGAAATGGCAAGGGTAGACAAGGTAAAGCAAAGATTGCTAAGAAAAACCCAACAAAAGACAAATGCCAGTGCTTCCACTATGGCAAAGATGGGCACTAAAAGAGGAACTGTAAAGAGTACCTTACAAAGAGGACAAAACAGAAGCTTGGAGAAGTTTCAGGTACATTTATGATCAGTCTCCATTTGTTAGACTCTTATAATAACACATGGGTATTAGATACTAGTAGTGCTTATTATATTTGTAATTCGTTACAAGTTCTGACAAGACCTAGGAGATTAGCGAGAGGCGAGATAGACCTTAAGATGAGCAATGAAACAAAAGTTACTACAGTAGCTGTTGGTGAGGTCACCCTACATTTGCCTAGTTGAGCTATTATTGCATTGGATGCATGCTATTTTGTTCCTTCTATTATCAAAAATATTATTTCCATTTCATGTTTGACAGTTAGTGGATATAAATTAGTTTTTGAGAACAATGGTTGTTTAATATTATTAGATAATGATATCATCACGAAAGGAACATTGTATAATGGTTTGTTTATGCTAAACACTTGTCTATATATCATGAATGTAAGTGTGTCTAAGAGGAAACGAGATGAGGTGAATAGTGAATGCTTGTGACATTATAGGCTAGGTCACATCCATGAGAGAATGATTCAAAAGTTGCTAAAGAATAGATATCTAGATCCATTTGACTATGAGTCATATGCAACATGTGAGCCTTGCCTTCGTGGAAAACTGACCAACTCTCCATTTAGTGGAATTAGAGAGAAAGCCACTGAGCTGCTAGAACTTATACATAGTGTCAGTATGTGGACCCATATCAACTCATGCCATTGGTGGTTACTCCTATTTCATTACCTTTACTGATGATTTCTCAAGGTATGGACATGTGTACTTAATGAAGTATAAGTCCGAGTCCTTTGAGAAATTCAAAGAGTATAAGAATGACGTAGAGAACCAGACTGGAAAGAGTATCAAGACTCTTCTATTAGATCGAGAAGGTGAATACTTGAGTACAAAGTTCACCAAGTTCCTCAAGGACCATGAGATTCTATCCCAATGGATACCTCCTTATACATCTCAGCTCAATGGTATATTTGAAAGGAGGAATCATACACTGTTAAACATGGTGCAGTCCATGATGAGTTTCGCTGACCTACGCATCTCATTTTGGGGATATGCCATAGAGACCACAACTTACCTTTTGAACAGAGTTCCAACTAAGTCGGTAGTATCTACACCATATGAGATATAAAAAGGGAAGAAGCTTAATCTTAAGGTTGTTAATATTTGGGGCTACCCTACCCACATTAAAAGACATAACCACGATAAGTTAGAATCGAGGACGGAGCGGAGCAAGTTCGTGGGATACCCCAAAGAAACTTATGGGTATTATTTCTATCATCACGAGGACCAAAAGATTTTTATAGCCAAGAGAGCGGTGTTTCTTGAGAATGAA